GGTGCTGACGAGTTGATGGGTGCAGCACACTAACATGGCACAAGTATACATATGTAACAAACCTGCATGTTATGCACATGTACCCTAGAACTTAAAGTATAATAATAATAATAAATAAATTTAAAAAAAAAAAACTTCAATTTGTCCCAGGCATTCACTCAGTTCCTGGAAAATATGTAACATCATGGGATTGTCTTGGGGAAAGAATTTATCTTGACGTAGCAAGTCCTAGGAATTTAGCTAAAGGAAAACTGATTTTGAAAAGCATTTTGATGAGAATGGGTGTCAAGGCTGAGTCATTAAAGGTTTGCTTAAGGAACGAGAGGTGGCTTAGGTTTGGCAGAGGAGGGATCAGCCTCAAACAAGGGTCTTGGGACTATTTGCCCACCACTGACCAAGACATTTTCAAAAGGGTTTCTCTGATTGTATCCTGGTGTCCTCTCCATTTATTAGGGAGGACAGCAGGTGACAGGTGGGGAGGGAAGAGGGCTTGGGAGTAGGGATGAGGTGGTGAGGACCTCCTATATTTCACATTCTCCTAGGCCAGCCTTGGGGACAGGGAAGGATGGTTTATGCTTAGTACTGGGATGCAGAAGTGCTTCAACTCTGAATCAGACCAGGGCCATGCACATAGCTTACTTAACAGTTAATGCCCACAGAAGATGCTCTGGGAGGACAGAAGCCAGATGCTATTGATGGAGGAATGGAGACTGAACAGAAAAGAAGACATTGCAGCTGAATCATAGACGTTACAGGCTTTTCAGGGACTCTCTATATCTAGGGAACCACAGTGGGAGTGGCCCTCACTTGCAAGCACAGTGCCTTGTACACGAGATGTGCTTGGTGATTGCATGAATGAATGTTCTCCTGAAGATGTCGGTTTTCAGGGATGCTAAGATTTAAACCATTATCTCCTAACACTCCTCCCCCTCGACTTACAATTAGGCAGCAATTCCTTGCACAGTCACTGTTGTCATCTTGGTGGGGATCTCTCAGCTCCCCAACATCCTGACTGCACATGAGAAGCTTCTTAAGAAGAAATGCTTCCCACAAAATCGGCTCTGAGCTCTCCTTCATGAAGAGAAGGGCTCCGAGCTTTCTGCAGAGGAGCTCAAAGCCACTTTTCTATAATCAACTACACGCATTAAAGGGAGTGATTTTTTTTAAATTCTCCCCAAGCCAGATTCCATTAATGAAGCCCCATTTAACAGAAGTCAATTTACCAAAAAGAAAAAAAAAATTGAATGTAATTGCTTAAATACATTTTATGTTGTACTGCAATAGCAATTTTCTGGGCGAACTTGGAATTCCCCAAGCCCCCCGTAGTGAAGTTAATGTGGACAGAAAGGTTTGAAGGGGCGAATCTCTCTTTGTGTTTCTCTCCTTTAATTATGATTCTAAAAGGGAGCAAAATTAAAGAGGATCCTGGGGGAAGTCAGGAGGGGGAGAACAGGAACAGAATGGAATTCAGCCTAAACTGTTCCACTGCCTTCCTTCATGCTTGCATGTACATGTCAGTGTAATGTAGTGGCTGAGTGCATAGGCTCTGGATGGGAGGGCCGGATTTAAATCCCACCTCTGCCACTTAATAGCTGTGTGACCATGAACAAGTTTCTTTCCCTCTCTGTGCAGCCAGGTGGTGCAGTGAGAAAAGGCATAAAGAGCATCACGGGCAAAGGCAGAGAAGCACACAAGAACAATGTGTATTCCTGAATACATGAACTCTTCTGTTTGGAGAACAGTGTGTGTGTGTGTGCGCGTGCGCGCGCACGTGCACGCACACTCAGGGTGAAAGGCAGGCAGGCGTCAGACCAGGAAGGCTTCCCTGAGAAGGTGACATTTGTTCAAAGCCTTGGAGGAAGCAAGGGGCTGAGCCAGGTGGAGTTCTGGGAGAAGTGCCAGTGTAGCAGGCAGAGGGCATGTCAACTGCAAAGACTCTGAGGCAGGAGCAGGCCTGGCCAGTTTTGAACAGCGAGGAGACATCTGTGGCTGGAGCATAAAGGATAAAGAGGAGGAGGCAGAAAAAGTAAAGGCACAGTGGCTTTTTCAAGGCCTTGTAGGCTATAGTAAGGTCTTTTGCCCTGAGGATTAGAGCCATTGAATATTAGTTTTGTTTTGATTTGTTTTTCACTAACTCCATTGTAATATAGTTTACATAAAATAAAATTACCATTTAATTTATTTACCTATTTATATTTTGGAGATGCTGTCCAAAATATAATAAATAGGTAAAGAAAACGGGGTCTCATTGTCTTGCCCAGGCTGGCCTCTAACTGCTAGCCTCAAGCAGTCCTCCCAACCTGGCTTCTCAAAACCCTGGGAATACAGGCATGAGCCACTGTGACTGGCTGTAAATTACCTATTTTAAATGTACAGTTCCTTGGAGCTTTGACCAATGTGTACGTCTCATCTAATCAACATCTCATTCAATATGTAAGACATTACCATCACCCCCAAATGTTCCCTTGTACTCTTTCCCAGCCAGACAATCCCCAGCCTTTATCTCTCACCCCCACCTCTGACAACCACTAATCTGTTTTCTCTCACTAAACTCTTTTGCAGAGTTTCATATGAATGAGTCACTCAGTATATACTCTCAGTATATCCTCTCTGATGGCCCAACATAATGCTTTTAAGAGTCATCCAGGTTGCAGGTATTGGGAGTTGGTTCATTTCATTGGAGAGTTTCTAGCAAGGCACGACACCATCTCAATGGCAGAGTCTGATGTGATGATTCTGCCATGTAAGCCCCCAGTTCTTTGATAGATGCCAAGAAAACTCTCAACCGCCCAACATTTATGTCCAGGGAGGCAGGAGCAGAACAGAGTAAAGATGCATGGGCAACACAGGGCCCTAAGAGTTTAAGCCTTGGAAATTAACGATTAACAGGATTTCTAGGAGTGGGTAAAGGTGTGGGAGAAATGGGAGGTGGGAGATGCCTCTTAGGGCTTCTCCTGATCTCACAGGCCAGGGAAGTCTCACTGACTTCCTGCGACAGTCTTGATCATTAATCTCATCCTGCTCTTGAGACCTCAGCACCCTCCCCTCATTCCATTTTGCAATAAAGAGCTTTTGGTCCTGAATTATTCAGGTAAATTCTCCCTACTTCTACTTCCCTTATATAAATAGCCTCCAAGCTTTGTCACTGAGATAGAATTGAATTTGGCCTGGAGAAAAAAAAAAAAAAAACCCACAATACGTTTGTGGCTCCTTAGAAAACTTAAATGACTCAGTCTGTAATAAACTATTTTAAATGGGATCTGGTGAAATACAGTAATTGGTTTTTATAATAGTTTTTAGCATAGCAGTATGGGTTATATTCCTGAAGTTTGGTGTGTGTCAGCATTTTCATTATGGTAAGAATTCAGTTTTGCAGTACGTGAAGCTCCTTGGTTAGTTCTTTTGTTTAATGCATATTTATGAAGACCCACTATGCTGGATGTCTTCCATTTGCACCTCCAGATCCTCTCCCTTGCCTTCTCCTTGCTCCATGCCTGAGAAGACTTACCCAAGGGGCTGCATCAGTATGCTCTCTTGCTCTCTGGCTTCCAGTTGGGCTAGATCAACAGGAGAATCAGTAGGAGATTGGAGGAGGGGAAGGAAGACAGTGAGTTCTGGGTATTCATTCTTTGTCTCCTCTTGATGGGCTTTTCACGAATTGGCTATAGCCCCAGATTGTGAAAGCAGATCTGGGTCCTATATGGTGTCTTCTTACATGCAGCTCCCTGTTTGGAGATAACTATTTTCTCTCTGCTCCAGGATTGGGAGTGGTAACAAGTCCCCCATTTGCCAGCCCCAGGATACTGCCCCTCCCTGGTTGTTCCCCCATAGTCAGCCCTCACCTTTATAGTTCCAAGAGTTTGATGAATGACTGTTTCACACAGGGTATAAGGACCTATGTGAAAGAGTGTAGAGAAAGGGTATAAGGACCTATGCAAAAAAGTCATTCATCAAGCTCCTGGGACTCTTCTTGTATGACTGTGACACGTGTTTTCTGCTGGAACTCTGACATGCCTACTTTGTGTCCAGTATTGTGTTAGATGCTGGAAATCAAGATGAAGAATGGAACAGCAGCTGCCATCACTGACAGCTTGTTATGGCCAGGGACTGTGCTTAGAGCTTTTTTTTGTGTATTTTCTCATTTAATCCTTGCAGTCTTTTAAGGGAGGGGTCATTATGATCCCCATGTTGTGGATAAGGTCACTGAGTCTCAGAGGGTTTCTGTAGTTTTCCTGAGATCACACAGCTGATCCCTCCAGAGCTCGTTTCTTCACCACTAGGCCACATTGCCCGCTCTGAGGAGTTATCTTGAGGAAACCACACACTTCTATAACTGAATTATAATTTGAATTAAATGTGGTGGCATCACAGAGGAAGACAAAGGAAAATTATAATTATTAAACTAATATGTGCCAGGGACTGACCTCGATTCTTTGTGCGTACGATTTCTTATTTATTCCCACAAACTCTTAGGGCTGGTATTACTCCCATTCTCAGAGCATTCTCTGAGGTCCAAGGTCACACTGGTGAAACCCGGATAAGAACCCAAATCTGTGCTTCAAAGTCAGGGAGAGTAGGGAACGCTTTACTGCAGATGTGATACTCAAGGGACTTCCCAAAGTCATCTTGGGGGACGTGGATGGGCAGGAGAAAGGGTCACAGGTGAATATATTCCAAGCAGAAAAGGCAAAGAACTAGAAAAAGGAAAAAGGATGGAATGCTTAGGGAGTTTAAGCAGGAGGTGCTGTAGTCTGAGGGATCAGTTGCCTCCTCCCAGCAGCTGAGAGAAAGCCAGCAGTGTGATGAGCCCCCGGAGGAGCCATCTCACGCTGCTCAGGCCTAGGGTACCGGAGGGGCCTGGGGTAACACCACCTTCCCTTCCTGCTTCAGAGCTGGGCTGAGGCCCTGGCCCTCAAGGGAAGTGGGGAAACTCCTGAATGCTCATATAACTCTACTGCCCAGCTCTGGTCCCTGAGCCCATCTGCTTCCTGTTCCCACAGGTTCACCGGAGCCAGCCTCCCAGCCCCCGTTATCAGCAGCAAGAACTGGCTGCGACTGCACTTCACATCGGATGGCAACCACCGGCAGCGCGGATTCAGTGCCCAATACCAAGGTAGGCAGGTCCCAGGACCGTCCGACTTCCTCAGCGGGCAGCGGAGATGACACCTAGAGGGCTCATCGCCTCCCCATACTGGGGTGTGGCTTCAGGCTTCCTTGGCTTCTTTGTACGTTTCTATTTGCAGACTAGAGGTCTGCACATTTGCATTTCTGCATCTGCCCTTGTCTTTTGCCCCAGACAGGGATGTTTCCCAAATTATGTAGCTGGAGCTGCCCCTCACAGGCCAGGCTAATCATAATAGTGAATACCAGGTGCCTGCTAAGAGCCAGGCACAGTGCTAGGCACTTGACGAGCACCATCTCCTTTTATCTTCATCATTACCCTGCAAAGGAAACACGGTCATCACCTCACTTTATGGACAAGGAAGCTAAGGCTCAGAGTGGTTAAGCCAATTTCCCCAGGCCCTCCGAACTCCTGCCTTTTGAGTCCAGAGCCCACCCTCTTAATCACCAGCTTTTGCCGACCTCTGCAGCCTACATTTCTACTCTTTTTCATTTTATCTAGAACACGAATATATTCCAGAATCACTTGAGGGAGCATGCTAGCTTTGATGCTCAAATCTGTGACGAACTGTCTAGTGGCAACAGATCAGACCAGGAATGGCAGGTGGAGATCGCAGCTAAGCAGATTTCTCCTGCAGTAATGAAGAATTTCCTAACCCAAGAACCGCCTATTAAAAGGAATGGGTTAACCCAGAAGCAAGGAGCTCTCTGTAACTGGAGGAAATCCAAAAATCCAGCTGATAGATGGGAGCGGACCAGCACATTCCTTTTCGACATTGAGTGTATTCAAAGTACTCAGCATTTATAGAGATAAACACCAAGGGTTGGCCTCATAACGTGCTCATTAAGCCTTTAACTATTACCATTCTCAGATTGTTATTGGTTTTAACAGAGTAGACAGCAAGCTTATATTCTGCACCTATTAAGTATAAGGACCTATGTGAACCCTGGGCTCTGAAGCCAAATGCCTGCTGGCCCACCCTTGAGGTAGCATAGGGCAGAGTAGAGCTCCCTCCACAAGGCCCCTGGGGCCAGGCTTTCTGTCTGGAAACTGGGATGAAAGCAGCCCTGAAGGAAGAAGCGTTACCTTCAAAATCTGAACCTTTTAGGAATGGCCTAATTTACTTAGCCTTGGGTATACACATTTGAAATATCTAGAAAGTAAACAAGAAACTAACTTGGTTCAGTAGCGTAACAAAGCCTTACGCCGAGATCTTTCTTGGAGATGTTTTTCCACTGCTGAGGCTGGGTCTTTGTGAGTGGAACAGCTGTCTGTATCTTTCTGCTGTGTTGTTCAAAAAACAAAAGCGGAGATGAATGTTATAATTTTATCTGATTAAGTAAGTGCTGGGTGTTTCTAATATCTCAAGTTACTGAGGGCCCATTTGTCAGTTTTTAAGGTTAAGGTTTGATGCCAGCAATGGGCAGTAAGAACCCAAGCCAGGCAGTCTCCAGATCACACATCAATTCCACATCTGTGCACACCAGGCCCCGTGCTAGGCACTGTATGTGCATTGCCCCACTCAGTACTCCCCACAGTACAGTGATACTTTTGTTTTTATTTCTGTTTTTTTTTTTCCTTTCCTCCAGCTGAGGAAGCTGGAGTTCAGAGAGGTTGTGTAACTAGCTCAAGATCACACAGCCCGTGAGCCGTAAAGCTCTAATTCATTCACAGACCTCTGTGAGTATTTGCAGAATTACAGGGCCTCCTCTTATGGTGCTTTGGGTGTCTTCCCTTTCCTATTAACCAGTAGTTTTCAAACTTTGTTTTGTTCATCTCACCCCACTGTAAAAAAAAAAAAAAAAAAAAAAAAAATCACAACCCAGTATAAGCATACATCTGTAGAACTAAAAGGAAAATATGACCAAGTGGTATTTACTATGTACAATGTGCTCTGAAAATGTCATTTGTATTTTTAAATGCTAGTTGCAGCCTCTAAATTAATTTTACAAGTCTGCTGCAGGGAACAACTCGCGATCTAAAAAGCACTGTTTTAGTTGCAAATTTCTTGAAAGCAGGCCCTCTCCTCTATTCTCTCTCTCATCCTTAGCATATCCCAGAATGAAGTTTTGCATGTTAGTGTGTGCCAGTGTATAAAGAGGACTTGCTAGATTTTTAGGCACTTGGCATTTATTACTTTGTTCAACCCTAACGGCAACTGTGTGAAGGAGATACTACTACTCGTCCCATTTTACAGTTGAGGAAAGAGAGTCATAAGGTAACTAGCTGGCTGAGGTCTCATTAATAGTATGTAGCAGCCAGGATTTGAAGCCCAGCAGTGTTAATTAGGGTCTGGCATGCTCAATTATTGTGATTCTGTTAATAAATGATTCTTCCTTGAAACCTGCTTTTTCTAGTGTTTTCCTGACCGAGGCTGCATAGTGCAAGGATATACAGTGATCGTTTAGTAACTCCACTGGTGCCTGCCTGAAGCAATGTTTCTCAGCCTCAGCACTATTGACATTGTGAGCTGGATAATTCTTTGTTGTGAGGAAGTGTCCTGTGCATAGCAGGATGTTTAGCAGCATGCTTGGCCTCTGCCCATTAGATGCTAGACACAGTGCAGTAGGAGGGAGCCACAGGAACCAGCAGCCAATAGCAGCCCCTCCCACACACACACAGTCATGACAACCAAAAAAGTCTCCAGACATTGCCAAATGTCCCTATGTGTATAAGCACCTCCAGTTGACAACTACTACTCTAAAGGAATAAAAACTTCGGAGCCAGTAAAGACCAAGCTAAGCTTTATTATTGCAAATACATCCTAAAACAGTGGCAGAAATAGATTTCAGTCAGGAGTCGAGCAGGAGACAGAAGGAATACTGCACAGCTTTAACGGTAGAGGGTTTAGTGAAGGCACCATGTACAGAGGTGAGGGTGGAGCTAAAGGAGCCCACAAGAGATGGTGAGGCCCCTGAGGACTAAACAGCAGGTGACCTACACCACCACTAGGTGTGCAAAGGGACCAGGGAAGAAGATGGCGAGAGCTGGAACCATAGAAGAGAGTGCTGCCCCTTGACAGACCTGAAAAGCTATTCCCCACCCACAGTGCAGGAGGAGGAGACCACAGGGATCCATAGTAGCCAGTGCACAAGGAGGGGATTAGGGAATCAGTAGCTTGACCTGTCTTCTCTCTCCCTCCCATCCACTGTGCTTCCCATCTGCCAATCCAACAGGAAGCCAGGAGCAAGGGAACAGAGGCCCTGCTCTGTCCTGCTCCGTGCCCTGGGATCCTGGCTGGCATTACCACCAGGCTCCCTTGCTCTCCAGCAGTCCACAGAGGTCAGCTTTCTGGGGCACAGAGCAGGGCAGAGAGGTTTAAAGAATGGACCTGGAAGGGCAGGGGAAGAATCATTGGCATTGGATCAGTTTCACCCACAGTCAGCTTTGTGGCACTAGATTCCTAAGTGATTTATGGCACTTCAGAGCTAATGATTACCAACTTCTAATGGTATTGACAGATATTTTTTCCCAGATAAACAAAAAGAAGTAAACTTAAAGTAAAAGATAGCCTACAACATAGTACATTATTTTCTTGTCTCAGTCCAATCAGAATTTAGGATGTTTGTGGCCAAACACAATTTTACCTAATACCACAGGGTATTAGAAGGCCTGAGTTCTAGTCGGGCTCTGCTTCAGACTGGTTATCAGGAGGTAGGCAACTGTGTTCAATTTAACAAGCATTTTGGAGTGACATTACTATGTGACAGCAAAAAAGATGAATGCTACTAGGCCAATCTCTGCTCTTAAGGAGAACAGGTTAAAGAGAGGCACAGACATAAATCTATAACTTTTGTACAGCATGATAAGAGCTGTAACTGAGGCCTGATTAAGAGTTCCAGGGCTAGAGATAAAAGGGCAATTAGTTTTGCCAGAAGGATTTAAGGAAAGCCAAAAAAGAGGCAGTGACTTAAATGTGGGTCTCAGAAAGACGCCAGACAGACCATGGGAAGACGTGTTCCAGGTCAAGCAAAGGCAAGAAAGCATGAAACTACCACATCTAATGAACCACCACTATTTCCATGCATCTAAAGCAGCGGTCACAGACCAAATCCAGCCCTCCACCTGCCTTTGTGTAGCCCTCCATCAAAGAATGGGTTTTACATTTTTTAACAGTTAAAGAAAAGAAATTGAAAAAAATAATATTTCATGGCACGTGAAAATTGCATGAAATTCACATTTCGGTGTCCATAAAGGTTTATTGAAACACAGCAACGTTCATTCATTTACACCTGGTCTACGGCTGCTTTAGCACTACTAGGGCAGAGCTGAGCAGTTTATGACTGAGACAAGTGGCCCACAGGCCTAATATATTTACTACCAGGCCCTTTACAGAAAAAGTTTGCCAACCTAGAGGTAAGTCTGCCACCTAGAGAAAAGCAAGCAGGAGAGGTAGCAAGCACTGAGGCTGGGAAGTGTGGTAATGGTCAGTAGAGTGGTCAGTACTGTGAAAGCCTCAGTAGAGTTGGGCTTGATTCCATGAGTCATAGACAAGAAGTGATCAGAAGTTGTTAATGAGAGGGGAGACATGATTCCCTTTTCATTTTAGGAAGATCTTTGCCCTAGAATCCAAACTGAGAAAATGGTTAAGAATCTTGGGGAACTGGTAACAAGAGCCAGAGTTTAAACAGGAGTGAAGATGAAAAGGAAGGGACAGACCAAACATATTTCTGGTAAACCTCACTGGACTCATGACTAGTTAGATTTGGTGGGAGTGGGAGGGGATGGGGTTGAAGAAGATGAAGGAGTCAGGGATGAATCTAGCTTAAGTGGTTTAAAAAAATGATGTTAACAAAGATGGTCTGGGGCAGAGACAGATGGGGAATGAAGTTTGCTTGGGACACATTGATTCTGGGTAATGTTGGGATGTCAGGGATTGGGAGACTAGCGAGCAGTTGACTATTCTTTGGGTCTGTAGCTCAGGGAAGAAGGGTCTGGGCTAGAGATAATGATGTGAAAAGTTCAAACCAAAGTAGAGGCTGAGACCACCA